GTAGTCCCAGCTACTCAGGAGGCTGAGGCAATAGAATCGCCTAAGCCTAAAAGCTGGAGATTGCTATGAGCTGGTGACAGCACAGCACTCTACCAAGGGCAACAAAGTAACACTCTGTCTCTTAAAAAAAAAGAAAGAAAAGAAAATGAGACTGTGGAAAAGGCCAATAATCAGAGGTGGAAATCTGGTGTAGTTCTAGACTTTTAAAATCCTTGTCAGTGTGAAGCTCCTGTTGATTAGGAGGACAAATGAGAAAAATGGAATCAAAGCTTTTTTTTTTTTCTTGAGACAGAGTGTTACTATGTTGCCCTCAGCAGTGTCCTGGAGTCACCACAACCTCTAACTCTTAGGCTTAAGCAATTCTCTTGCGCCTCCCAAGTAACTGGGACTACAGACATCCACCACAACGCCCTGGCTATTTTTTGTTGTTGTTTAGCTGGCCCAGGCTGGGATCTAACCTGCTAGCTTGGGTGTATGTGGCTGGCGCCATAACCACTATGCTACGGTGCCGAGTCTTTTTTTTTTTTTTTTTTTTAGAGACAGGGTCCCACTGGGCTACAGGCGCTGAGCCTGGCTGGTTTTTTTTTGTTGTTGTTGTTACTGTTGTCATTGTTTTTTTTTTAACAGGCCCTGGCCGAGTATAAACCCACCAGTCCTGGTGCATGTGGCTAATGCCCTAACCACTGACCTACCAGTGCTGAGCCAAGGTTTTCTTAAAAAAGGCCTAATATTAAAAAAAAAAAATCACTACTACATACTAAAAAACTGTGAAAATAGAAGAATAAACCACCCAACTGAACCTACTTGGAGTAGCCCACTCTCAAACCAGTTTTTCTTTCCTTCCCCCCAGTTCCTTATTTTTAGGGTGTTTTACCTTCTGGACCACATTCTCTTTCTGTAGCTGACTCTGTCTCAGTTTCTTTAACAGCACCAGTCGGGCTTCTTCCAATCGTAGCTCATCCCTCAGTTGCTTGATGAGCTGCTGCCGTTCCTCAATGCCTTTCCCCTAAGGAAACATGGAGATTGTCAGTTATGGCAGTACGTACTCAGTCCCCCCCTGCAAGAGATGATCTTTACTTTTTAGGTCTGAAACCTCTATCTATCACAGGACATAGAAGCGGCAATAGGATTATCTCTGTATCTCAGGTCCAGTACAGTGCCTCAAAAAATGGTTACAGAATAGAATATAGACTGCATATAAACACTAATCAAGTAGATTCCTGAAAAAAATAGATGACCAAAGAGAAACATTGCTTTCTTTAAAAATAACATTTCTAAAACTTTTTTTTTTTTGTAGAGACAGTGTCTCACTTTATCACCCTCAGTAGAGTGCCTTTGCATCACACTGCTCACAGCAACCTCCAACTCCAAACAGCAATTCTCCTGCCTCAGCCTCCCGAGTAGCTGGGACTACAGGTGCCTGCTGCAATGCCCGGCTATTTTATTGTTGCAGTTTGGCCACAGCTAGGCTTGAACCTGCCACCCTCAGTATACGGGGCTAGCGCCTTACCCACTGAGCCACAGGTGCCACCTCATTTCTAAAACTTTTTTTTTTTTTTTTTTGACAGGGTCCC